CAGATGGCTGATCGCGATGAGGAACAGATACTGTACGATACAATCGCAGAGGGAAGCAGCCAGTACTGGAACGAAGAAGTGGGGAACGAGGATCCAAACCAGTACTTGAACGATCCGGGGAACGTGGAGAGGGATGTGGAGGGGAACGATGAGGGGAACGAGGAGGAGGAGGCTAGTGGAAGTCATCCCTCCGCTGGACAGAAGAGGGCACACGGACAACGAGGTGCCGCGAAAAATATAGAGGGTCGGCACATCATAACTAAGGTAGACGAAGACGGCCGACCTACTGCCCCGGCGGAAGCAGCCAAGAATTTTGTACGCCACAGCGCGGTGTACTGGCAGCAGAACAAGGGCACGCGGGGATAATGACAGCTTTGTCTCGGAATCAGAGAAAGAGATGCTGTGGACCACAATGCTCGAGACGTTCATGCTCCCTGCGGGTACGGAGAACATAGTGAAATAGTGGACTCTTAAGAAAATGGCAGAACAATTCCAGAGCTTCAAGGGAGATCTCTACAAGAAATAAATCCTGAAGGGGCTGACACCGAACTTCGACGTATTCCCGAAGCTAAGGGATCATTGGGACGAGTTCGCTGCTTACAAGACAGGGCAACAAGGGCAAGCGATGATGGTCAGAAACAAAGAAAATGCCGCCAAGAAGAAGTACCATCACCACTTGGGGTCAGGCGGCTGTAGCGTCGCAATGCCGAATTGCGAGGAGATGGAGGCAAGCTTGATTGAGAGGGGTATCGAACAGGCCACCGGTAAATGGCCGGATCGATCGAAGTTCTGATACTATGCTCACGGTGGAACGCTTAACCCAGTTGATGGCTCCCTGGTGTTCAGCGATCAGATACGCGAGGCTGCCAGTCGACTAACGGAGGCAGTGGAAGCCTCTACGCAGGGCACGTTCCGACCCGACAGAGAGAAGGACGAGCTATCGCTCGCCCTGCAGACTCCCGAGCATCCAGGAAGAACACGTGGGAAAGGCATGGTTCATTGGAAGATTGGATTCAAGGAGGACATCCACACATACAGGAGTCGGATGAGGAGCAAGAGAGATACCGAGGCGAAGATTGTAGATCTTGAGTACAGGGTATCGAGCTACGAGCTCAGCATACAAGAGGAGGTGGCACGGAAGGTGGATGAACGCATGGCCGCACATCGGTGCTAGGATCCCCAGCCGTACATTCCTCCTGTAATGGTCAGCCCCTCAGGAAATCGTAGCAGCTGCGCCTCAACAGGGTAGGTAGGATCACAGAGCATGGACGCCATGCATACTCAGGACGAAACCACATGCCCCGTTGAGGACATCAGCTGCATATTCTCTTCAAGAATTTATCAATCAAGGTAGTTCTATGTTTTTTGGACTTGTACATTTCGCAAGTTTCTGCTTATGTTGATTACTAATAGATAACCTCTCATCACCTGAAGGTTGCGTCGGAAATGGCCATCCCAACGGACCCTTCAGGGACTTACCACTGCAGGCCGATTCCAGTAGGATACTCGAGGGTCGAAGTTGAGTTGGTGGAAGCCGCGTACGAGGACCTCGAGTTGGACTACCCTGGAGGAGACGGTGAGACGCATCTACACGACACGAGCCATGCCATTATACTATGGCGCAAGCGCTACATCATCCTCCCTAGGCGAAAAGCGGCGTCTCATGCACCATCCCCTCCGGCTCCTCCACTGTCTCCTCCTCATCAGTCTCCTCCACCATCTCCTCCTCAGGATCCTGCACCGACTCCTCCTCAGGCTCTTGCACCGACTCCTCCTCAGGCAACTGCGCCGCGTCCTCCAGCACCTTCCAAGTCAAGAACTCACCAAGCACCACCGCCTGCCCGCACAAGGGCGACGAAGAAGGCGAAAGTTGACGCCGCCGAGAACAAGGAGCCACCGTACTATTGCATGCAACAGGAGCTTGACGCTTACGTGGCAGCAGAAGTGAAGAGGCAATTGAAGCCTCGGAGTCCAGAAAAGAAGATTCCTATAGACCCGGGTGCCAAGAAGTTTTTCAGGAGTATGTCGGCACCAGCCAAGGAGGCCATAAAGCTCACGGACTATGAGCGAACACTTAAGAAAGCATATTATGGAAAGTACAAACAAGTCCATCAGCTTGGAGAGCAATCAAACCAGGAGGTCGAGCCATTGGTGACAGGGCAAGAAATTGGAATAAAAGAATTCCTTTCTAACACCGGGCTAACTAGGGATCAGTTGCTTAAAGGCGCACCAATCCCAAAGGTAGAAGTGAGACACAAGTACGAACTCGGTAAACCGCTTGTCAAGCCTGAGTAGCTGCAGTCCTTACCGACACAGATGTACAAATTCCATCAACGGTACATGGAGATGAGCACAAGCGGTAGGGAGATTATCGGAGCGAGGATTAAGAGCTCCGACTTCTTACAAGGGGAAGATGTTCTCTGGATCAATTTCAAGGATATCTACGAACTATACCAGCTGGACGCCCTCGACGTATTTATTCTTAGCGCATGGATTTTGTACGTATGGTTGAGTTATATTTCTTACGTTCCTTTAATTAGCTCCTTGTATATATATGTACACCATATATATAACAATTCCTTTATATCGTTGTAGAATGGAGATTCAAAGGGCCCGATGGCGGGGGGTTTTCGATACTGGATTCATCGACCCTCGGAAAGTAAACATCGACATGATCACCGACTATCCGCAAGCCATAGAGGACAATCTCGTCAATCTCCTGAAGGAGCAGCATTACAAGAGGTTCGTACTATTGCCGTACAACACAGCGTTAGTTTTTACTGTCTTCCGAACAAAGTTTGTTCCCTTACATATATAGATCTACAGTTTTTTTCATATATCCCTCACACATATTGCAGATTCCACTGGGTCCTTTTACTCTTTGACTTGGAGGCCTACAGAGTCAATTTCTATGACTCAATGAATAAAGATGAGTCTACTTTTGACCAGGTTTTTGAACTGATAGACAGGTAATGTCATAAGTTCCAATGTTATTACGAATTTTGCTATTAATTGCTACTACGAATCATAGCTTTAAACTCCATGTAGGGCTTGGTATCGGTTCCGTCATTTGGTCCGCGGCAATTGGAAAGAAAAACTTAGGCGGAGGTTCAAATTTCCTGTGAGTACATGCTCTACATTTATATTGAATCTCTAATTCAAATATAAGTGTATATTAATTAAATCTCTCGCCGTTTGTCACGTATATATATGTAGTGTGCAAAGCAAGACCAGGGAACTAACTTGTGCGCTACTACGTATGCGAGTATTGCCACTGCCTTACAACCCAAATATACACCACAAGAGAGCTTGATGTACGTATAAATAAATTCCAACTTTCATTGCGTACGTATCGATTTGTTCATTACTGATTAATTTCATACATTCATATATAGGTTATTCACATGAGGGATAACCTCACACACAAGGAATTTATCGCGGCGGTTCAAGAACAACTCATAGGATTCATCAACGAACAAGTCCTTTATCCCGAGGGTGAATTCTACTACGATGGAAATACAATTCATAAGCCGTTAGCTTCTGAGATAACGACTACTACGTCGAAGTCGTAGCTAGCTAGGACATAATGAATTGTAATTAATACATGTCTATTTTTATATATGTACACATTTACTTTAGTGTAAATATATATTTTGGTCATATATGCACATAAAATGTTAAGTGATTTAATATATACATGCATAATATATGTAATATATATATTATGCATACATATATGTATTGAAACATATATATATATATATATATATATACATATATATATATATATATATACATATATATATATATGTGTGTGTGTGTGTATATATATAAACCATGCAGCAACAGGGCCATGCAAATAAAAAAAAAGCAGCTCGATCTGTAGTCCCGGTTGATGTTACCAACCGGACCGGTTATTTCACCCGGGACTAAAGATAGCGATCTTTAGTCCCGGATTCGTAGTCCCGGTTGGTCAAGCGGGACTAAAGGGAGGTTACGAACCGGAAGGAAAAAGGGTTTCTCCACCAGTGTATACTTTTCCGCCTACTCCAACACCGTGCGTCGACGATGACGACGGCGATTTGTGTTGATGAATGTGAATTTGGGACAGGGATTTGGGGAGCCTGATTTTTTTAGTCGCCTAAAATCATTTTTGGCGGCCTTCCTAGCTTGCCCACCTGCGAAAATGGATCTCCGTTGGCGGCCGGAAAGTTCGACAGCGGAAATTCGTTATTTTCACTATCCTTAGATTGATGGTGGCGCCACCGGCCATCAGCAAAAACTCGATTTGGCCGCTGGGAAAAAGCTGATATGTAGTAGTACTACTAATCCAAACTATTTGCGAAAAGGCAAAAGGCTCACGGGTGACTAGTCAGTACAATCCTTTAATTAATCCAATTCCAAACTATTTGCAATTTTGCACGACAAGTGGCATCTCTCTGCCACGCCCCCCTGGCTCTCCTTCGCTACTAATCAGGGATGGTGGCGATTAATGCACTGGGGTTTCCTCCCCTTCCCTCTCGGGGAGCTGACAGAAAGGGGGACAGAAGACCAGAAGGGAGAGGTGAGGAAGAAGATGAAATAAGTTGGAAATCGCTGACATGTCACATCAGCGAGTCAACCTATTGACTCAGTGAGTCAAACGCGGTCAAACTATCACATCAGCCGAAACCACTCTCATAACCATCGAGTAAGTTAATTTACATCGGTTTTCGAAGATGTATGTGAGACATAATACCTGGTTTTACGGTTAAGTAGGGCGATTCAACTACAAGAATGAGATGAGGGAGTCAAAAGAGACTTATTGCAAAAGAGAAGTCCAAAAACGTGGTGACCAAATTTGGTAATGCGCGACAAGTCACTCACCCGTGAGCCTTTTCGCTGGAACTATGATATGTTCTGGGATCCACCTAGACTACACAAACAACTATCGTTGTCTGATTCATTGTACTATGAAATGTCTTATTGCTATTTAGGTTGGATTTTTTTGAAACGGAGGAAGTAGGAGTAGTCCAGTACGTCCATCGGAATCCGATTCGACCGCGGCCACAGACCAACCCGACAGCAAATAATCCGGCCTGTTGTTTCCAATAAATACACAGTGCTAGCTATGGGCTATGGCAAAACAAAATCGCAGCCTCTGCTCTGGAATTCTCAATAATCCGATTACAATAATAATAACTCGATCGGTGCAGTACTGCAGCCTTCAGCCATGGGAAACGTCTTCTCCGGGATCAGCGTGGTGATCCTCGTCATCGTATGCACCTCCCTCTACACCTTCGCCTTCCTCGCCGGCCTCGGCCTCAGCCAGAACTTGGAGAGGACAAGGAAACGCCGCCATCGCCGGCGGGATAAACCGGCCACCGGAGAAGACGAAGAAGATGATCACGGATCATCACGACGACAAGCTCCAGCACCGGCTGCAGAAACCACCGCCGCCGGCGACTACAAGCTCTACTCATCCGCCATGATCTAACACCCTCATCATCGCGCCATCACCACGACGGCGGCGGCGGCGGCGGCGAGATCAAGACCGGCGGTGACGCAGGTCGGGGCATGGGGAGGATGCGGCGGGCGGCCATTCGACATGATCCCGTCCACCATCCCTCGCCGGTTCAACAGCATCGCGTTGTTCCACTCCAGTGGCGCCATCCACTCCATGGAGAGCAACAACAACAGCAGCGCGTTGTTCCACTTCGACTACTACATCCAACAACAGCAGCAACATGGAGGACGTGATCGCCATGGTGGTGGACAGCTCAAGCTCATGAACCATGGTCCATGGGGCCAAGCGTCTTCCTACAATTCCATAGCCGTCCGTGATGAGGTAAGCAACGATCCATGATTATATATATTCCTCTTAACAATTAACTCTTTGCACGCATGTTAACTAAGTACTTATAGAAAAAATTAGAACACTAGATTTAATATGAGATATATAACTTCACAACCATAAGGTAAAATTCGACTTCTTCAAGTTATAAAAGAAACAAATTAAACTAATTAAAATTAGTTAACATACATTCACAGCTATCTTTATTTTTTTATTTGTAGAAGTTGAATTTAAACTGTAGTTTGTTGAGTATTATATATCATATCTAATATTTTTTTAAAAAAATAATAAAACTATCGTAAGCAACAAAAGATATATATATCCTCCACAGATGAAACACTTTTCTAACTGGATGCATGAAAAATTATCAAACCTGTGCTAATTAATTAAACTTGTAAACGATATGCAGATCAAGTTGTCGGCGCGTGAACAGGTGACAGCGGTGGAGGGCACGGTTGGGAATTTCAGGGACGTGGATGAGCCGGTGATTACCTCCCTCACCTTCTACACCAACGCCGGCAGGAAATACGGGCCATACGGCGGCAACGGCAAGCAAGGGACTCCATTCTCCATCCCGGTTGGAAAGGGTTGCATCGTCGTTGGATTCTGGGGACGCTGTGGATGGCTCCTCGATGCCATCGGAGTCTATGTCAGTCCCCAGAGCTAATTAAGCTTTATATATATATATATATATATATATATATATATATATATGTATATATATATATACATATATATATATATATGGAAAATGGTTCTATACACCCAGGTGTATGTACTCCCTCTTGCATCCACCGTTCATCCGAACAACCAGATATGAGTTAATCCGTGTACACCTTAACGGGTGTTGACTCAGCGGACCCGGTATGTATATCGTGAATTATGGAATTAATTATTCAGGGCAAAATTATCTTACCGTTAATATCGGAACAGATCCAACAGCGCATCACGAAATTTCTGGGTTTTGGGAGGCAACGAGGCGACGACTCCTCCTCGGATTGTCCCCACGGCGATTCAGTGGCGACTCGGCGGCCGGTGGAGGATCATAGAAGCGATCTATACTGATCATTGAATCTGCTTGTTCCTTCCTCCAGTGATGGCTCCTCCTTCACCAATCGGAGATACTGAAGCAGAGGTAATCGATCTAGAGGATCTGCCACCCGTTGGTGTCCCAGGAGCAGAAGTCATCGATCTGGAGTCGCCTGAATGCAGGAGCGGGGCAGCCGGGGCAAAATCGAGGAGTCACAGTAGTGCAGGTCATCCAAAGCAGCAGGTTAGTATTTGTGTATTTTATACGGCAAGATTGACGCTCGATTCCTAAATTTTTCTCGCTTGCAGAGTCACGGGAGAATCAGTATATATATATACATATGTATATATATATATATATATATATATATATATATATATATATATATATATATATGTATATATATACACACACGTATGTAGAACTACTACATGGCACCCTGACGTGCTACGTACCTTCGTAGCAGTCCTCACAGGCTGTGGCTCGCTGCTGCCGCTCGCGCCACCGCCCACATCCTGCCCCTGCATTGCTCCGTGACCTCGAGAGAGAGAGTGAAACGGAAGGACATGTGGGTCCCACATTTTTTAAAAATAGAAAATACTGACTGGGTTGCCACGTGTATGCCACGTAGAACAAAACCGCTCTGATTTGGATCGAGGGAGTAATTCGTCTGGTATTGAAAGTTCAGGGTGAATAATATCTGGTTTTTGGATTCAGGGGTGTAATTCGGTCGACCGCGATAGTTCGGGGGGTAATTCGTTCTTTTTTCAATGTGAAATATGTCTAACTTTTGTGGATGAAGGAAGTGTACTAGAAACGGGAAAGTTGTTTTTATCAAAATAAATCGTTTACTCTAATAATGATGGGAGCGGGATAACGAGACGTGGAGTGACCTGACTGATGCATGCCTGGAGTAGCAGTTAGCACGCTGCGCTTGTACTAGTAACTCTATCAATTATTATATTCTAAAATCCTTAAAACCATCTATAATATAGAAGAAAATTTTTTCAATCAAAATTTATAATCTCCAAACGTAAGATATATAAACACACACATAGTACACATAATGGTTCCATATGAATCAACTCTATTGTTGCCACAATATTTTTCTCATAAATGAAAGACTGCACGGTTTAAGTAATTTTAGTTTAGAGTTTATACGTTGAAGGGTTATTAGACGAAAATCAAAACCAACGCTCAAAGCAATCTAAACAAATTATTGACAAAAACAACTTTAAAATAGAGTAAAAAAATATTTTATGAAACAGTCACCCACCCAGAAGTATTCATAATAAAAATTCAAACAACATTAAATACATGCGCATGCGCACGGCCTAACTTCGTAATACAACTTTGATGCGGAATAATTACATAGTTCGAAAATAATAATATCTCTTAAAGCTTGGTATGTTAAAGCCAAAACTAGCAGTAATGTTTCTTACTAGCTATATAGAAGAGCAGCCTGTGGTGCCTCCTCGTATCTATTGGCAATAGAAGCCCTGGAGGCGTCATGGACTGATGAGACTGATGCAGAGTTGGTGATGAAGTTAAGGTCAGGCAAGGTGGCATCAGGCTCCAGAAGTAGTTTCATTGCTTCCTGCATGGTAGGCCGACGCTGAGTGTCAGAAGCAGAGCACCAGAGCCCCAAGATGATGACACTCTCCATCTCCCTCCTTTCAGAGTCACCAACAATCTTTACCCTTTGGTCCGTAGCCTCCACGACATCACCTTTGCTTCGGTACAGGCTGCAGATCTGCTCCCTGGATATGTCTTTGCACGCGATCTCCAACAGGACGAGGCCGAAGCTGAACACGTCTGAGTAGGGGTTGAACTTGACCTTGCCATCTTTCTTGCACTGTGGATCCATGTAATCTACCGGTCCTACAGCAGTTGTCAATACACACCCTTCCACAGTGCCTACTACAGTTGTTTGCAACGACGTTGGATCATTGTCAAGCTTCGCGATCCTTGACAAACCAAAGTCGGCAAGCTTGACATTATATTCTTTGTCTAGGAGTACGTTTCTTGGCTTGATATCTCTGTACAGGATATATGGCTTGCAGTCGTGATGTAGGTAGGATAGAGCTGAGCCAATACCCTTGGCTATATTGTACCTGATCGATCGGATATAACCAATTACTCCCTCCGTGTTGGTAATACTTGTGGTTTTGGATAATGGCACGATCTCCAAAACACAACTTTGACCATTATTTTTCATTATAATATATATATAAGTATTAAACAAATATATGATTTTATTAAAGTGACTAATCTATATATGTAGTCACCATATTTGAAAGACAAAAGTTTTAAAAATGATTCATCATCAAAGATTTTAAAGTTCAACCTCACCCTTGTCTAAAACGATCTTTGCTTAGATTTTTTTACATGACGTCTGGGTATCGACACAATATTCAATACACAAAACCTCACATTACTTTTTCCAACCAATATATTCATAGAAAATGAAAAACAACTTTATCTATATGTATATATATATGTATATATGTATATGTATATATGTATATATGTATGTATATATATATATATATATATATGTATATATAACTGGTACTCCATGGTGTCCGGGCACCAAGATTCAAATGAGTATGAAATTATTTTTTAAAGTGTTTAGGTATGATTTGAACATCTTTTGGTTAGATTTTGATTCTAGGTATATAGCATCCAAACATATAATTAGTTAGGTATGTAATAATGTATTGTGAAATAATGTTGAATTTGAGTTGTTTTGTTGCTAGGTATAGGTATGAATCAAATTCTTATGCCTAGGTATATACTAATATATATAAGTGTTTTTCCTGACTAATGTAGTATTGGTATCATTTTCATTTCAAACTCTAATAGATTTGAATCTATTAATGATTTAAAATTTTAAGGTTCGACAAGACACAGATAGTAAGTACTAGAATGTATCCAATTCAACCAAAACTCCTTATATTTTAGGATAGATGTTGATAACGGAAATAGCATAATATTTGACAATCGTGTGCTTCGCTACGTACCTCGTAGACCATGACTGTACTGCTTCTTCCTTACTCACGTGTAAGTACTCATGGAGATTGCCATTATTCATCAATTCGTAGACAAGGAAAAGCTCCTTCTCCATACTCCAACACCAGCCGCACATGAAATGGAGGATGTTCCAGCTATGTCCCCCTTAAGGAGATTCTTGTGCCTGGCTTCGCTGATGGTGGTGACTTCGGTGAAGAAGTCCTTGTGTCCTACGTTGAGCTCTTTCACAATTTTCTTCACAGCAACATCACGGCCCAACTCCTGTAGGTACCCACGGTAGACCTTACCAAATGCACCCTCCCCGAGCTTCTGATCGTCCGAGAAATTATTTGTCGCCATGGCCAAATCGCGGTACCCGAACCTCCTGGCGCCGGCTGTTCCCTTGTGAAAGAAATTTTGGACCCTTTTCCATTTCCAACAAGACAGCAAGATCCACAACACTAGAGCCAACACAACAACTCCTCCAATTATTAATCCTCGAAGAAGGCCTGCTATTTTGTTTCGCTCTACAAGCAAATCATCGTCAAATTTCATCAGTCTCTCTCAGAAAATTTCTTCACTACTAGAAATCCCCAGGTTCCCTAGAAAAATTTTACTCGGGAAAGGGCAATAAACCGTAGGAAGTTTGTTCCCCTAGAGAGATTCGTAGGAAACAATTCCAAGGGAAAACAATGTGCGGGGCAATAGAAAGTGCCCTAGGTTTTCTTTTGTAAAATCATAGGGATACAAAGGTTCCCTAGGAATTGGGATGGTAGGGAAAATTGTGTACATGGCATGGAAATCTTAGCTAGTTACAATAACCAGAATAAGTTCAACATATATAATTAAGATTGCTCATCTTTCTAGCTAAAAAGTGCTATAAGCAATCATGGATTCATCACATAGTTACAGTTCAAATGTTCCTAGAATTTGCTTCTGACAACAAAATTCCACAAAAGCTATCCAACCTTAAATTGATGTTCATCCATCATTGCTACCAAAATACAGCAAGAACTATCCAGCCATAAATCAAAGTCGATCCATTCCCTAGCTAACATGACTTAAGTAAATTAGTCACAAAGTAGCACTTCTATATATAGCCCAGTAGCATGTCTCAAATGTTGATTGATTGTTCAATGGCCGTATATTTGGAGTGCGCTCCTTTCTATATTTGGGATTAGGAAACCGTGTAGCATGTCTCAAATGTTTGAGAATTGGCTGAATTGTGTTGAACCTAGGCTCTAGAGAATATTGTTTGTGGGCATAGCTGCATTAATTCTTTGGGCAATTTGGTTATATAGGAACGATGTGGTCTTTAATGGCTCCAGTCCTATATTTTTCTTGCATGTCATTTTCATAGGAACGCATTGGGCAAGGACTTGGTCTTTGCTTCTTAAAGGAGTCGACAAAGAAATAGTTAAGAGCTATTGCAAGCTACTGGAGAAGCGTGTGTTGGAGTTCTTCTCTGTGTATGGCTAGAACCTTAGAAGAATATTGGAAGCCTAGTCTTTTTCTTTTTCTTTTGTTGTTCTTAAAACCTTCGTGCTGTTATCTCTCATGTAACGGGAGAGATTTGTTGTTGCAGTTTCTACCCTTTTTTTAAGGAGAGATCATCTTTAGTCCCG